GGGGGGCTTCCGGGGGGGGGCAGTGTGATATCCTTGATGTGGACTTTCAGATGTTGGTGGCTTTGTTCAGTCCTTGCCATTCTCTAACCAGAATTAGGGTCAAGACACACTGTAGCAATCCCAGAGAGCCCAACCAGCAATGCTCCCTCTCCTTTTAAAATTTAAACCTTCAAGTTTCTGGAATGAGTAGCCAGCACTTCTAGTAGGAGCCTCACTGTGGAGGGACATACACACACATACACGCTTCCCTAAGCAGGACCCACTTTGGGGAGCAAGGAATATAATTTGCTGCATGGTGCTACTGGAAAAACAGGCAACATTACCCTTTACCCAGGCAACAGAGGCAGGCAACTGGCCTTGTGACTGCAACCAGCAGCTTTAAGAATGCAGTCCTTTCTGCTTCAAGGCAGAGAAGAAATTGTTTTTGCCTCTTTTTTATTTGCAGTTATTATCCCCGAGGCTTCCCCGACCCCAATCCCCGACACCATCCTCAGAGTTCAGGTCCTCCATTGGCAGTGCCCAAAGGGAGGACCCTAGGCGGCCAGTCCGGGGCCCAAGAGGGCGGCTCCCTCTGCACGGAATCCTTCCCTAGTGACTCCCAAATCCGGCGTTTTCTCTGCCCGCCTTTCCCTCGGGGGAGACTCGGAGAGGCTGCAAAAATCTGGGCGCCCGCTCGCTCGCTTGTCAAGAAGCAAACTGTCTTCACATTCTCCAAGAGCAACATCCCTGCCTAGGAAGAGGAAAGAAGAGGCAAAATAAATAAAACCAGTTAATGTTGTAGTTAACTTGCAAATCAAGTAAATCTGTTGGTGCCGTATTTGAGAAATAAACCATCAGAGCGTCACAGCAAACACACACTTCTGAACGTCTTCATTTTGATTTAATGGTATATCAGCGTCAACTATCGCTTCCTCTGCTGGTACACACGGCCTGATGCCGCGGGAGGAGGGTGCCCATGTTTATCACCGAGTGAGATGACTAATTACACCTTGTCAATCACCGGCTATGAAGACATAAAACCAGCGCGCACAATGAAGTAGTTGCCTGCAGCGTCAATTAGTTGGCGATTCGGAGGTTATTGCGTGGCCCTGCTTCGGCCGCCTCTAATAACGGGACGGAGCGCCGGGAACGGCGCACTGATCAATCACCCTCCTTCCGCGGCTCCCCGGCTCCCCGGCTCCCGCCCCCCTCTTCCTCCGCCCCACCCGGCCTCACTTTCTCGGGGCCGCATGTGCTTCCTCCCTCCGCGGCCCAGGCTCCGTGGCGCCGGCAGCCCCGGGAGCCCCGGGAAGTTCGCGCGCGGCAGCTCCGCAGCCGGCAGCCGGGAGCCCCGCAGCCTTCGGGGAGCGCCGGGGCTGGTGGCCCCTTTGTTGGAAGAGGCGTGGAGGGAGCGCTTTTGTTCTGAGTTAGTCACGGTGGCCGGCTGGAGGCTGCTACCTCATTATGCTCCGGGGCTGCCTGTCTGCGAGGAAGCAGATGGTGGGGAGGTAGGCAGCGGCGAGAGTAGCCAGACCTGAATTCGGTTCACCTGTCACCTCCCACAAAAGGCAGGTTCTAGGGACTTAGGGATTCTTTCTCCCCATCTGGGGGAGGGGCGTCGAGGGGCCGCCGTTTCCGACGCCTCGGAATATTACTTTTACCTGCGGGTGCCTGCTCCCCCAACCTCCTGCCTTCCCCTCCGCTGCGGCTTCTCGCACCGTGTAAATGTCACTCACGTGTCAGGATGCGTGTTTATAGCCCGTTCCTTTCCTTGTTTAGTCTTCGTGGACAGGGCTCAGCGGTTGTGCGACGTCCCCCCCCCCCGCCCGCCTCTGGGGAAGATTAGCAAAGTTACCCGCCTCCGAGCGCAGGGCCGGGGCGCCCAGATCCCGCCCCGCGGCGGGAGACGCGTTTGAGCCTCCAGCAGACCCGGGCGCGTCCCAGCCTGACACGGAGGGCTGCAAAGGCGGGCGCACCCGGCGGGAATCGTGACTGCCAGGGAATTTGGGGTCGGTCAGCGATGGGCGTGGACTGCAGGTCAGAGTGGCGACGAAATCGTGTACTTACATATGTGGGGGGAGTGGAGAGCCGCAGGATGTGTTTCCGTGTTTCTTGAGAAGCCCGCGGCAAGAGTTACCGAGTGCACCTCCTCCCCGACCCGCCCCCCACCTCCTAAATCAGCCACTGGAGTTCTCGAAAACGTATTGTATCCATCTAGCCTAGGCGCGGAGCTGCACCAAGGACAAACTCTCCAGCGTTGTTACAATTTTTTTCTACCCTTTGGGCGACCTCCAGATGAACCCCGGTGACTCCCAGATTAGATTTTCGTTCCTTACTTTCTTTGAAAGAAAGTGCCCCAGATGCGTCAGTAAAACATGCCTGTGTATACGTGTAGGCGTCCGCGTGCCTGGGCGCGGGGCCGTGTGCAGGCGCCAAAGCACACGTCTGTGTGAACACACGCGCAGGCGCGCGTCTTTGGGTTTATGGTCCTTCCCTCACGTTGGGGCATCTGTGCATGTGCAGCGTGTACACACGTACTTGTAACTTCAAGAGTTTTTTTCAAATACGCAAAACATGGCCTCGGAGAAGCGCACGCGGGGATTTAGGTAGTATTGTCTCAACATGCAATTGCATGTATAACATGCAATTTACGCCTTTACAACTGCACGCTCCTGCCTGGCACTGGACACTTGTACCCCATGTGCCTGTGTAGATCCTAGTCCTACATCCCTGCTGGCCGTGTTTTTGCCAACGGAGAAGAACATGTGCGTTTGCACACATGAACACGAATGCATGTGCTTGGGCATTACTAACACACATATGTTTATGTTTGAAAGTTTTGCACTGTAGGTAGAAGGTAGCCCCTTGCCTCCTTTTGGCAAGCAAGTCACTTCAGACTGACCCACCTCCAAAGCAGACCCAGGAAATGGGACTCCTGTTACTGACTTAGCTCATTTAGTTTTTCTCCACAGTCACTTTTTATTTCCTTAATCCTGCTTCACCACACACCTAGGTATCATGCTTGTGTCCCCAAGAGACTCTAGGTTGAGCCTGAAGTCTGGGGGCTGGGGTGGCAGTTGAGATTTACCCACAGGTGGGGTTGTTGATCCTTGGAGAAGTGGTACAGCCAGGCAGCAGGGTGGACGCCTGTCAACAGCTGGGTCTGTGGCATGATGCAAACAGCAGAGGATGGGCCTGCGGTCTTTAAGGACCTCAGTGATACCCAATGTATGTCGGAGTGGGAAAGTTTTTAACAGGAGGAGATGGAGATGGAGAGGGAAAAGAGGGAGTGATGAGAGAATTTGGTTAGTGCCTACTACGTTCCAGGTACTTTAAAATCCATGATCTCTTTTGTTCATTACCTGTGTGGAGCGGACCTTCTCGTCGCTCAATGAAAAGATCAAAAACAGTCTAAAGGGAGTTCAGTCACTTGCCTAAGGTTACACTGCATGTAAGTGGCAGAACTGGGATTCGAACCTATGGGTTTCCTAGTGCCTAAAGCCATGCTCGCATCCACTCTTTCAGGCTGTAGAGGGACAGGGAAGGGGCAAGAAGGAGCTGCACGCTCCCATTAAGTGGGCCCTAGCTTGCTTGGAGCGAGGCTACGCTGGCTGGTCCTCCTCCGCCGGAGTCTTACAGCTCCCGCGGGCTCTAGCCTCTCTGGCTCAGCCGGGTCCTCAGGAGGCCTAGGCGGCTGCCCGCAACCCGCAGCGCGGAGCCTGGGCCGAAGGCCGAGCTCCGCGGGAAGCAGCTGAAGGCTCCCGCAGCTCTGCCCCAGGCCTGCCTTCCCAGGCCTCCCCAGCCGGTGCCCGAGGCGGCGGCTCTGGGCCGAGGAGAGACCGCAGTGAGAGCGCCTCAAGCATCCTCGGGCTGCGCCTTCTTAGGATGGAGACGGCAGCGAGAGAGGGTTTAATTTTCCATCCCGAAGAAATCGCAGGAAACTGTTCGCAGCTTAAAAAACTCCAAACCCCGCGCTCTCCCTCCTCCCTCCCTTCCTCCCGCCCCCTCCCTCCAGCCTTGCCCACCAGCTCCCACCATCTCGTCGCTCCTCTCCTCCTCCTGATTCTCCCCTCCCTCTTGGGTCTCCCGCCTTCCCGGAGCACGCGCTGCCAGGGCTCGGGGTGCTGAGCGGCCAATGGCGCGGCGGCAGGACGTGATGTAAGGCGCGGCTGTAGAAAAGGCGCGGACGCTTGGCTGGCGCGGACTGCAGAGCCGGGGCTGGGCTCGGCGCGCTCTTGGAGAGCCTTGCGCGCGGCTGGGCCCGTGGCCGGCGGCTCCTCCTCCCACTCTGCTCCTCCTCCTTTTTCTCCTCCTCCACCTCCTCCTCCTCCTCCTCCTCCTCCTCCTCCTCCTCCTCCTCCTCCTCCTCCTCCTCCTCCACCTCCACCTCCTCCTCCTCCTCCTCCTCTTCCTCCTCCTCCTCCTCCTCCTCTTCAATTCTCTCGGTGTCTCGGCTCGGCTCGCTGGCTTCGGAGAAATCCGTACTACAGTCGCCGACCCAGCGCCTAAGCGGGTCGCCTAGGGCTGGGGGCGCACCCAAGGGAGGGTAGAGGTCCAGGCAGCTGGGCCGCCGCGGGCACCTAGCCGTTCCCGAGTGAGCCCCGACCGCAGCCGTCGCCGCCTCCGGCAGAGTTTGCGCTCCTGCTTTGCGCCCGGGGCGCTGAAGCCGGGCGGGCGATGCCCGCGGCGTGAAAGCGCCCGCGGCGGGCGCCGACCTCTGCCCTCGTCTTCCCCCTTCCCGCCACCCCGCCCCCCGCCCTGTGCCCTTGTGACCCTGGCTTTGGCGCCGCCGCCCAGGCGCCCCGCGATGTAGCTGCCCCTGCGCCTCGGCGGGAGGCGTCCTGGCCCGCGGGCGCCCGGGGCCCGGAGCCCGGCCTGGGGGCGCAGCCGAGCTCGGGCGGGGCCGGGGCCGCGGTGGCGATGCACCGGGCCCGTTAGCGCCAGGAGCGCCAGGCAGCTGAGGCGGGGGGCAAGCCCTCCCGCGGAGGAGCCGCGCCCCCGGCCCCGCCGGTCCCGCCGCGATGCTGTTCCACAGTCTGTCGGGCCCCGAGGTGCACGGGGTCATCGACGAGATGGACCGCAGGGCCAAGAGCGAGGCTCCCGCCATCAGCTCCGCCATCGACCGCGGCGACACGGAGACGGTAGGCGCACGGCTGCGGGGTCGGGGCTGAACCTGGGACGGGGCCGGGTCGGTCCGCGCTTCTGCTCTCCGAAGTTTGGGGGCACTTTGGGGAGCGTCCTTCGTGCCGCACGGGACTGGGCGCAGGGGATCCGCGGACAGGATGCAAGGCCCCGTAGCTCCCGGCTCGGGGGAAACCCGGCTGCTGGGGCGGAGGAGGGAAACAAGGTTTAAACCGAAATTTCAGACCCCAAGGGTGCAAGAGGGCGTTTCTCCCGAAGTGGGAGCGAAGTCCTACCCGCGTCCCGGGATGGCTCTCTTCTCACTACACCGGGGCCCTCTGTTCGCCAGCTCCGCGTTCCCCTCCACCCCTCGGCTGTAGCTGTAGGCGGCGCCGCCGGCGGCGCCGGGAAGGGCGAACCAAACGGGAGCACTAGGGCTTCAGCCGGCGCGGGCCGCTCCCGTCCCGCCTCCTGGCGATCGGAGTTCCCTACTCCAGCACAATTCCAAGGGTCCAAGTCTTCTGGGCCGGCGCTTTCCGTTGATCACGTCCCTGGCCTCCTGGCCAGCCGACCTGGCCAGGCCAGGGCTCGCAGTTCAGGCTCTGGCCTGGCTCTTGTGGAAGGAGCGTCCATTTGGATCTCCACACCTGGCTTTGCCAGCCCAGCCCCGAATAGCCAGTTCCTCACCTCAGGCCTCCCAGGGGGCCAGGCGAGCACAGGCTATGCAAGCTGGGCCCAGAAGTGACCTTTAGAGGCTGGGGAGGTAGGGAAGACGGGCGAAGCTTCTCCACTTGGAAAGGAAGAGCTGCAGCCCCGGTGCCTCCGGCTTCTGAGCTCCTTTCCCCATCAAACTCTCCGCCTGTCCCGCACTCAGAGACTTTGAGGGTGCCTCCGCACTCCACTCACCATCTCCCAAGGACCCAAGAGGGCCCCAGCCAGTGTGGCCAAGGTGGTGGAGGGGCAGGGGTTGGCTGCGACCTGTCCTGGCTTAAACCTTTGGTATAAGGATCCAGAGATCCCTGAGGCTCGGGGTCAGGAACTCTGTGCGTCTCCCGGGAGGCGTCTGTGTAGAGGGTGACTTTTAATGGTCATCTCACCCTTTTTCCTGGGGCCCGGCAGAGTGGCTCTTTTAAGAAACAGTTTTGAGGGAGCTTTTGGAGGGCTTGCCTGGAGTAGCCTCTGCTGCCCCAGCCCTCAAAACAGCCCAAGCCTTTCTGGGAAAAGGGCAGAGGGGGCAGGAAGGGGGAGAACTAAGGAGGGAGATCCATCCAGGCCAGCAGCCAGGCCTGGGCCTGTGGCCGGCTTGGGCTGTGTGGGCGGGCCTGGGTTCTGAGCCTCCTGAATATGGGCCTTTTGGGGGTGGCGGAAGCGCACCGCACACCCCGGCGGCCCCGGCGGGGGTGGCGTTTAGGGCTGGCGGGAGCAACGGAGGGAGCTGCGGGTGCCGGTTTCCCCGCGGCGGCGGCGGGGAAGTCGCAGGCTGACGCAGGCGCCGCGGTCTCCCGCCTCCCTCCCTCCGCAGACCATGCCGTCCATCAGCAGTGACCGCGCCGCGCTGTGCGCCGGCTGCGGGGGCAAGATCTCGGACCGCTACTACCTGCTGGCGGTGGACAAGCAGTGGCACATGCGCTGCCTCAAGTGTTGTGAGTGCAAGCTCAACCTGGAGTCGGAGCTCACCTGTTTCAGCAAGGACGGAAGCATCTACTGCAAGGAAGACTACTACAGGTAGCCCCCCACCCGGGGCCCCCCTGCCCCCCAGGACCCTCAGACACATTGGGCCTGGCTCCTTTCCCTCCAGTCCCAAGGGAGGGTTCCCTACCTAGCCCCCCCTTCTCCAAGCCAGTACAAATTGGGTAACGACCTTTCTAAACAGCAATTTGAAGGAACTCTTGGGAAGGTCTGAGAAGTATAGGGACCCAGAGAAAAGGGCCCTCTTCTGAGCTTAGACACAGAAATAAGCTTGGGTGTGGGGGGGTCCTTGCACCCCTCTCCCTTTGAAGTTTCTTGTGGGTCAAGCGGATGGAACAGAAAAAGGCACCCCCCCCCCCAACCCAGGTAGCCTGGGCTGGTGTGGGACAAAGTTGGAAGGAGAGCTGGAGGATCAGTTGGGTGCATTTCTGGGTCTTTCGTGAACCTGGGAGTGAAACCTGCCTCAAGGGTTAAAGAGCCAGAGTCACTAACAGGCTCCAAGTTTCTTCTCTCCGTTTAGGGTTAGGGTCTGTTTATATTCCCTTTCTCTCTCTCTTCCCCCTTCTCTCTCTCCTCCCTCCCTCTCTCTTTCCCCATCTCCGTGTTTCTTCCAAATTACAAAGGTCTGTAGGATTCTCAGGCGCTGGTGTGGAGGGCAGGGGTAAAGGATGAGAAAGGGTAAGTGGGCAGCCCCCCCCCGCCCTGGTTCCCAAGTAAAGGCTTTTCCTGGGGCTTGCCCAGGTTCTGGGTAAAGCAGAAGCCTTGTGGACATGAATATGGTTAAGGGAAACTATATTTCAGGGTAGGACAAGACCTGGGCCAAAATCTAGTTCCCTCTTCGCCCCATCCTCCGATTTAAGACTGGTTCCCATCTTAAGGAAGAGATTTCCCCCAGTGGCAGCAGCGGCACCTGGAGGAGGGATATGGGGGGTACCCAACCGTGTGTCCCCACAGTCCCTCCCTCGATGGTCCCTACAGGCGGTTCTCTGTGCAGCGCTGCGCCCGCTGCCACCTGGGCATCTCAGCCTCGGAGATGGTGATGCGTGCTCGGGACTTGGTTTATCACCTCAACTGCTTCACATGCACCACGTGTAACAAGATGCTGACCACGGGTGACCACTTCGGCATGAAGGACAGCCTGGTCTACTGCCGCTTGCACTTCGAGGCGCTGCTGCAGGGCGAGTACCCCGCGCACTTCAACCATGCCGACGTGGCGGCGGCTGCAGCCGCAGCAGCCGCGGCCAAGAGCGCCGGGCTGGGCGCGGCCGGGGCCAACCCGCTGGGTCTTCCCTACTACAATGGCGTGGGCACGGTGCAGAAGGGCCGGCCGAGGAAGCGCAAGAGCCCCGGCCCCGGGGCGGATCTGGCGGCCTACAACGCTGGTGAGTGCGAGGCGCACGGAGCGCCCCCGTCGGGTTGGGGGAAAGTGCGTGGCGTCGACTGCGTGGAGCTGGAGTGAATCTCAGTGTGATCTATATCTATATCTATATCTATCTATATCTATATCTATATCTATATCTATATCTATATCTATATCTATATCTATATCTATATCTATATCACTCTGCATACTCTAGCCCTTAGATTCCCCAGTCCCTAAGCACCGGACGACCTGGCAGAAGGGACATTAGGCTCCTGGGCTCCAGCCCGTGCGCACTCGGCTGGAGTGGGAGGCGAAGGTGCATTTGAGTCTCGCTGACCCCCGTGCAGAGCCTCGTCGCTGAGAAATTTTTCAGAGGTAGCTTTTTGGTTTGGGCCTTTCCCCCACTTTGCTGGTCGGAGAGTGCAAGCACAGAGAAAGCAAGGTGGAGCCGACACCAGACTGGCTCTGGGTTGGCGCGGCTGAGGATGGGAGCTGGGGCGATGGATGAACTGACGAGGCAGGGCAGCGAGGGTCCCAAGAGAAAGGACTGGCGGTGGTGGCCGGTGGGGGGCCACGAGCTCGGCCTGGCGTTTGGCCTGGTCCTGTGAAGTGTCCTGAGGGCAGCAGGCTCGGGAAACTTGGGCCCAGGACCCTTATGAACCAGAGCAGGTCGCTGAGCCCGGCCCGATCCTCCTGCTCCACCAGGTCTCGGTTTTCCCTGGGCTCCTTCCTCCGAGTTCCGGGCGCTGGTTTGAGAACAGCAACCCTCGGAAGCCGGCGCCCGGGATGAGCCCGGAGTAGGCCTGGCCTCGCGCGGGGAGTAGGGTGGAGGGCTCGTTTCGCATTTCCGGCATCTTTGAACCCCGGGCCGTTCCAGGAGACGCTCCCCCCCACGCGCCCCTCCCCGCTCAGGACAGCTGCGGAGGTTCTGGGGCCGGCACATTGAACCGTCAACATCTGCCCGACGTCTGCAAGGCCGGGAAAGGTTTATGACTCCCCGGGCTTCTGAACTAGATAGAGTTTATTTGCCATTATTTTCTTTCTTTCGTTTGCGGCAGAATCGGATTCGGAGATTTTTGTTTTCGTCTTCCTTTTCCCCTTAGTCTAATGCACAAGTGGAAAACAAAACCAAACAAAACCCCAGGACTGTGGGGAGAGGGCAGCCGCGGGAAAGAAGGCAGCGTTATTTTGATCTTTTAAAAATCTGAGCTGGCTGGGGGAGGAAAATTCAGCCGGTGCGGGGGCTCCCCTGTTCGCTCCAACGAAGTTGCTTGTTGGAAGATGGATGGACGTATGTGTCTCCGTGTGTGGAGCTGGGAGGAAAATGCAGCCCCCAGTTTAGTAAATGGTGAAGTGGCCATAGGCAGGTCGGTGGCAGCAGATTAAAGATTTGTTGAAGGTTCTACCAGAGATGCCAGCTCTCTAAAACTTCCACCCCTCATCTCTCACCACCCTGAAAATAGACTAAACCGAGTCCAGGCCAGGTCCCCCAAAACAAAGCCGCGTCTATTTATCAAATGGGGCCGGCCCCCAGTAGGTAGCCCCAGGCGGCCTGGGCCACAGGACGCAGGGTGAGTGGGATCATGTTTTTCTAGTAGGCAGGTTAGCTACCGGGTTTGGAATAGAAAGGTAGAAGGGTACAGAAATTTATTTGTGCTTTTTGCTGCTCTGCCGCCTTCCCTGGCGAGGTCCGGCGGCACCGAGCAAGATGTGGCTGGAGGCTGAGTTTCAAGGGAGCTGGCACCTCTACAAGACATTCCCCACCCATGCCATCTCCTCGTTTTTTTCTTTGACCCCTCTCTCTTTTTTTTCCTTTCGACTCTCCCGATCCCCCTTCCTCTCTGTCCTTCTGTGTGTTTGTGTCCCGGTTTCTCTGTTCCGGTCTTTTTTTTCTCTGCCGGCGCGCGCGTCTCTAGCCTTGGCTCGGGCGGTAGAAACCACGCACGGCGCGCCGGCTGTGGCCGTGCCGCTCGCTTATTCGGGGCTCCCGGGACCAGGCTGGGGAAAGCGGTCGCCTTCCTGGCCGCGCCGGCCCGGCCAGGCCTCCCCAGGTCTGGCTCCCGTTCTCCTCCCTCGCCTCCCGGCACCGGCAGGAGAGGAATGGCCTCAGTGTGGGCCGTGGGGCCGCCGGGACTGGAAAGGGGGCCGTGGAGGGTGCGTCTGCGGGTGGTGTGTCTGAGCAAGAGTCTGTGCGCGTTTCTGAGTGTGAGGACGAGAGCTTGTTGGTGTGCGTGTCCCACACGCAGGGGCCCAGCCACTCCGACCCTTCGCTGTGCGGGCCAGTCCGGTGGCGGAGCGGCGGCACCTTATTCCAGGGCGGTGAGCTCGGGCAGCATGGGGTGAGACGCCGTCGGTGCGCCCAGCCCGCCGCCGAGGGAAGGGCAGCCAAAGCGGCGGGGCGCAGGGTCGGAAAGTCCTTCCGGGGCGGTAGCCACCGCAGCCCTCCTCTGGCCGCCCCTCCGGAGCGAGAGCGCAGCCCCGGTCGCAGAGGCAGAACTGAGACCTTCCCCCACCCCCGAGCCGGGCCGCCCGCCGGCCTGGGGCGCAGACGAGGCGCTCGGAGCCCGCGAGGGGTCGGGGCCGCGCACTTTGCGCCGGGGGTTTGTTCGCCACGGCCGCGGGAGTCCCGCGCGGACCGGCCGGACGCCCGGGCCTCCCCCAGCCCCAGCTTTTTGTGTGTGTGCCTGGCGGCGTAATTACTGATTTGATTCCAATCCATTATTTAGACAATTGAACCTACAATCTCGTCTTTAGTAAAATGAGGCGAAGTCAGATTTGATTACAGGTTCAGTCCCAGCGACAAGAGCTCGAAACCCGATGGGTTAATAACAGATCACGAGTAAATTATTCATGATTTTACGAGCTCTTTAGCTCCATTGAATCGGCCTAATTGAGAGGAAAAAAAAAAAAAGGGAGAGAGAAAGCCCGGTCCTCCCCCTCCCCTCGGCCCCTCGCTCCTCCCCGGATCCGATCTTGGGGAATCTCGACCCGGCCGGGGCGTGGGGGGCGGGAGTGAGGGCGCCTGGGGTACAGGACAAATCTGGGCCCAACGGCGGCTTCCAGGCCGCCCTCACTTTCCCGGCGCAGCACCCCCGCTGCGGCCGCTGGCCTACTCGGCCTCCCAGTCTTGAGCCAGCTTCTTTGCTGCCCTCCCTTCCTTTCCCCTCTCCCCCCTTTTCACCACTCCCCAGCCAGTAAGGCTTTGGAATAGGCTTTCCGGCGGGGACCTGGTTTCCTTGAGACCGGGGATTCAGTTCCTTAACCTGGACCCCCCACCACACATTCCCCTCTTTTTCCAGGCCTCGCTGTCCCCTTAGGCTCTCTCTGTGTCTCTCCGGATTTCTTTCTGTCTTTGTAGCTCTCTCTCTCTCCCGCTCTCCCCATCTCCACTGCTTCCCTTTCCTCTGTCTCTCCTCTTTTTCCTGGCTCTGTCCATCTTCCTTCCCTACCCCCTCTTCTTTACTCTCTCTCTCTCCCTTCTGTCTTTCTACCTCTGTTTCTCTCTCCTTTCCGTGCCCTTTCTCTCTCCCTCCCCCAAACCACCTCCCCCCTAGATCTAGGCCGCACTTGGGGCACGTCCCTTGGGTACATGGGGCGCCAGGGTCCCCACGGAGCTCATTAACAGCAGCAAGGCCCAGGCGGGGACTGGGCAGAGGGTTGGGCCCAGAGATCCCCTGTGGGGAGGCCTGCCCCACCCCCCATGGAGCTGGGGATGGGGGCAAGGGGAGCGTCGCTCCCGCAGTGGGGGGGGGGGGCGGGCAGGGCAGGTTCCATGGAGTCCGTTTGGAGTCATTTTCTGATCCCTTTTACATTGCTGGACCCCGTTCTTCACTCAGAGTGCTTTCAGTGGGAATACAGCCAAGGTGGGGGACTTGGGTGCCTAGGTGCAAGTGCAAGGGACCCTTAGTAGCCACTTGCTGACAGGTTCAAGGTTAGTGACAAGACCAGCGTCTCGCAAATTCTTTCTGTAAGAGACTGCTCCCCACCTGAGTAGTGGGTAGAGTAGGTCACCAGGAAATCGGGAGTACTTCTGAAGTGGTTTTGCCAGATGAAATGCAGGATGCCCAGTTAAATTTGAATTGCAAGTAGACAACAAATAAATTTTTAGTGTAAGTGTATCCAATGCAATATTTGAATTATAAATAAGCAACAAATAATTTTTTAGCATAAGCCTATCCACTGCAATGTTTGAATTTTAGGTAAACAACAAATCAATTTTCAGTATAGGTATGTCCCGTGCAAAATCAGAGGCATACTTAGAAACTGTTCGTTGTTTATCTGAAATTCAGATTTAACTGGACAACCTGCATTTTTATTTGTTAAACCTGGCAGTTCTATTAGGAGCATATCATGGGGCACAAGATACATCCCCAGCTGTCTGCTTTAGGGGGACTGAATTCATCTGCTATGAGGTTTTCCCCAAAGTAAGACCTTACATGCAGGATGGCTCGGGATGTGATGAAGGAATCTTGGAGAGGAGTCGTTCATGTTCCCATCAGGCACCAGGTTGCCAAGTAACTTTCTGAGGCCTTAGGTTTCCACCCCTGTCCCTCACCCCCATTGCCTTCCAGGCATTGGCAGCTGGGCCCCAGCTGGGCCCCTTCTGGAGGGGGACTGGCTCCCCAAAGAGCCATGCTTCATCTTTGCCTGCCTTTGTGGCTTAGTGGAAGGAACCGGGCAAGGACTGCAGTGCTGAATCTAGGCTCAGCCCTTACCGGTGGTGCGGCTGGGTACACATGGCTTCATTTCCTTTAGCATCTGTTTTCTCATCTCAAAAATGAGATGAATAGCAGTAGCCACCTCTTGGAGCAGTAGTGAAGGCCCCATGATGTACATAAGGCCAAAAGCATACCCTCGGTGTCAGATACATGTTAATTTCTTCCTCCAACTTCCTTCTCTTTCCGGCTAGAATTCTGCCACTCTGTGAGATTTCTAGAGATCGCTTCACCTCCCTGCCTCGTTCAGCCAGTCTGTATAACTGGGAAGCAAGTGCTTGTCCAGGGCGGGGGGAGAGGAATAAACTACAAAATACAGTTTCCAACCTTGGCCCAGTGCCCATGGCCCAGGGTCAGCCAGAATTTCGGGGTTGGGGAACTGATGAGGGTGAAATCAAAGTGAGTGGAGAGAGGTCAGTCATCGACTTTCAGGTGCCCGCCCCAGACACTGGGTGGGGTGGGGTGGGGGGGGACTGCAGACAGCCTCCTTCCTTAGGGAGTGCAGGGGGAAACGGGGAAGAGTGTGGGCCCGGGAGCCCTGCACATGGCTCCGTCCTCAGTCAAGTGCCTTCCGTTTCTGAGCCTCAGTTTCCACAGCTGTAAAAAGGAGGAAATAATGCGAGGCTTATAGGGTTGTTTTAAGGATTCAGTGAAAATATGTAAGGCTTTTAAGCACATCACCTGGAGTCAAATCAGCCATCAACAAGTTGTAGCTGTTGTTCTTACTCAAACACAATGGCTCAGAATGGTTTTTGGACTCTCTTAGAGGTGGGTTTGAATCTGGCATTTCCTAGCTGAGAGACCCTGGGCAGGCGGCTCTCTGTGAGCCTCACGTTCTCCTATAAATCTAGAAAATGGGGATAATATTTTCATCTCAGCGTGGTGCAGTGCATGCGGTGGGGTCCTGAAGCTAGAAACTTTTGGTGGCAGGCGGGGCAGGGGCGGACTAGGCAGTGTAGCGGGGGGGCGGGTCAGGAGGTTCACCTGCCGCTTCTGCGTGTCCCCTCCCCAGCGCTGAGCTGCAACGAGAACGACGCGGAGCACCTGGACCGCGACCAGCCCTACCCGAGCAGCCAAAAGACGAAGCGCATGCGCACTTCCTTCAAGCACCACCAGCTTCGGACCATGAAGTCTTACTTTGCCATTAACCACAACCCCGATGCCAAGGACTTGAAGCAGCTGGCGCAGAAGACGGGCCTCACCAAGCGGGTCCTCCAGGTCAGCTGGGCCGCGGCAGGGGCTGAGGGTGGGGGCACCGGGGGCCTCCAGGGCCTGGAGCCGAGCCCCACAGCTGCCGTGGGCCTTGGAAGGACCTTCCACCCACCGTCTGCTCTTCTCTTCGTCAACCGCTGCTCCTTCTCCATCTCTTCAGTCTCTAGCTGTATTTCAGGGTTGTGGGTCCCCCCCCAACTTTACCTCTTCTCTTTCAATGTTTTGTCTCCCAACTTTTCTATTTTGTGTACATGTGTCCCTCTGTCCTCTTTGTCTCCGCGCTTAGCCTCTTTTCTTTCTTATAAACAGTTCTTGGTTGCTCTTTATTACTTAAGTGACACTCATAGTGTTCATGTAGTAAAAGGTTCAAGCGTTTCAGATAAATCCAGAGCATCCCAGGATGCCCGTCCAAGACAATTGCGTTAGCTGTTTGCGCCTTTTGCTTCTTGCTCCTCACTCATCCTCTCTAGCTCCTCTTTCTGTCTCTCTCTAGATTTTTCTTGTCTCTTTGTTATTTCTTAGACTCTCCCAGAAGCAAGCTTTGGGAGGGGGGATGTGGGCTGATCCCCTGGGTAGGCCAGGGAGGCTCATCTGCCTGCGGGGAGCTGGAAGCAGATGGGCACCTCTGAAATGCAGCAGAATTGCACTTGTGAGGGTGCTTTCTGCATAGAGAGGCTCCAGAGCTTTCCCCAGATTTTTGAAGGGTCTGTCCATACCTCAAAGTTGTTAAGAAACACAGTTTGGGGAGTCCCAGTCTCCTGCATTGTCCAAATTCGTGACAGAGATTTGGGCCACGACCTTCTCAGATCTTTAGCTCCTCCTCTTACTCATTTCATGGTCCTGGGCAAGTCATTTAACTCCTCTGAGTCTCAGTTTCCACATATGTAAAACAGACACAAGAAATTATCTATACTGCAGGCTTATTCGAAGAGCCATTGGGATAATATAAGCGTCCACCACAGTAGCTGACACTTAACTGATCAGTGGATGGTAGCTAAAAGTAACATTAACTAGATTAATTAACTGGTATTAACTAGTATGAATGATTATTCTGGTCACTGGACTTCAGTTTTCCTATCTGTACAACCATAAGGTGGGGGAGAGTATCTTTCTTTATAGCACAGTTTAACCAATTTATTCCTTAGAACGTGTGGTCGTAGGGATAGCAAAGCACATTTTGGGGTAAGAAAATCAAGAGATGAAGATCTGACCGAGGTCTCACGGCAGGAGGGGAGGTGCTGGGATTCGAGTCCAGGCCAGTCTGATTTATCCTCCAGCCCCAGGTCATTGGGGACTGAGGGCTGGGGGACTGGGACACTGAGGGGGGTGAGGGCGATGATGATGGACACCAAGGGCTGCACAACTGCCCTAGATTTCCTGCGAGTATGGCGGGCGTGGGGGGGAGGGTGGCCTTTTGGGTGTGATGGCGGTGGCGGGATGGGACTGTGACTCCGGCGCTGGTCGGTAGATCCCCTGGGAGCTGGGAGTTCCAGCCCCAAAGCTGGGTTGGCCCTGCTGCCTGCACCCCTGCGCAACGCGAGGGGTTCTGGGGCAGCTTGGTCCCTGGCGGGCTCGGTGACGTAGCCAGAGGAGGCGAGAGCTGGCCAATGGGACGCTGATGCGCCGCTCTGGGCCCACCCCCTGCTCCGCGTGGGCCCCGCCCCTCCTGTTTGGGTCCCTTTTGCCTGCGGATCCCTTTGTCCTGGGCTTGAGAAGGGGCAAGGACATTGCTGTGCCCAGCGCGATCTCGGATCCCCCTTGTCTGCTTCCCTTAGACTTTACCTTCTTGGGTTAGGTCTGGGGACCCTCCTTGGCACCCCCGCCGTTCCTCAGCCCTGAGCGAATTTGGTCATCCGCCTCTTCTCTGGTTAGTAGGATACTTTGTCCCTTCCCCTATCTAGAACCCCTTAGGGCAAGTTGGTGAGGGCCATTCAGTGAGCCAACCCCTGGGAGCAGGCCAGGGCAGGAGCAGGGACTTGGAGTGAAGCAGAGCTTCACTCCCTGGCGGTGCATCTTGAACAGATCAGTTACCCTCTCTGAGCCATAGTGTTCTCACCTGTAAAATGGGCACCATTAGGGCATATACCTCTCCCAGTTATCCTGATTAAATGGTAAAGAGTAAGTGCTCATAGCTGAGTCTGCATCTGGATGAGGAGCCACACTCTGTTGGCCTTTGAGGCAGGAGGCTTTATTCCCCGTTTTAGGAACAAATCAGGTTTCCAGTATAGTTGTCTCTCATTCTTTTATCTGACCAAATATCTATTGGCACCAGGCCTTGGGACGCAGAGATGAATGAACCACAGTCCTAGCCCTGAAGAAATTCACCCTCTTAACTGTAGAAATAGACCTACATTCAGTTTCCCCATAGTGTGATCAGTTGGGAGGGGGGGTTCTGTGGGAGGCCAGAGGAAGAACTGACTGTTCTTCGTGTAAGGAAAGGTTCACCTGAGGGACCTGGGTGAATACTTGCCCTGTGCCTTCCTCCCCTAGAATCCTGAGCCAGACCCGCTCACACCTGTATGCCCCCTCCACCACGGGGACTCAGGAAAGCCAGAGGCAAGGAACTAGTTGAGGGAGAAAAGCCCTGACAGTTAATGGTGTGTCTCCTAATCAGTAAATGTTGGAGTGCTCTACTGTGTGTCAGGCACTTTGAAAGGCCTGTGAAACACATTTGCTCGTTGCGTTCTCACTGTCAGGCAGCGTGATAACCTCCTCCCGGCTGTATGGAGGAGAACATTGAGGCCCAAATAATTTCCACTTGCTTCAAGTCACACTTTGCTAGTACGTAGCAGAGCTGGATCCAAATCCAAGCCTGTCTCTCTGGTCAATCTCTGGCTCTTTCTCCACTAAGCCAACCTAGCAGTGACTGCCTCTGAGTGTGAGTATCATCGAGGGCCTGTGTGTTGTTGGGGGTGGCCGTGGTCATACCCATAAGGCATACCAGATCACTGTTCTCCCTCTTCTCAGACCTCCAGATCTCTCGCACTGATCCTTAATATCCCCTAACAGCACGACTGCTCATGATTATGCAGCAATTTGCAAAGCATTATTTTTCCAGCCATTCGTCTGCCTTAATATTTTCCTGCCCATTTTACAGACAAGAAGCTTAAGAACTAGTGAGATGAAGTGATTTGCTGGAGGTTACAGGAGCCAGGCACTGGCAGGGTGGGGCTCTCTCCCAGGGGTTCTGACTGCTGATGGGCTAGCTGGGGGAGGTGGGATAGGAGCCGTTTGGGGCCAGGCAGGTGGTGGTGTGGCTTTGGAAGGTAACAGACTGGTTCAGGTCCTTTGGGACTTAGTAGCAGTGCGATTTGGGCACTTACCATCTCCCTGAGCCTGATTCCTTATCTGTGGAATAAAGGTAATAATCGTTTGTGTCTTGAGAATTCCTGAGCATTGAGACAATGAGTGGGGGAAGCGTCCAGCACAGTGCTGCCTGGTATAAAGTAGGTGCCCAGGAAATAAATGGTTCCTTCTCACTTGTCTACACCAGCTCAGTGGCACTAGGCCTTGGATGCTCCCTGCAGGTTGTAGTCCAGCTCAACCCTTCCGAGAGGTTCTCTATGCAGGTTGAGGTTGAGACTGTGTTCTCGAAGGTGAATGATACAGGATGTGTGTGTGTGTGTGTGTGTGTGTGTGTGTGTGTGTAGGGGCATTCTGGGCTGTTTCTGAATCTGTTATACGTAAGTACCACCAATATGGTAGGCCTGGGATGCAGTATCCCTGTTGGAATTTTGAGTCAGCTGATGTGAGGTCCAGGCTCAGCTCTGCTGCTTACACTCTGAGCCATATTGAGCAAGTCACTTAACCTCTCTGAGCCCCAGTGGCCTCGACTATAAAATGGGGATGATCATAATATTCATTAGGTGTTTTCAAAGGGTAAATGAGATGACTTCAAGTGTGATTTATAAAGTATAGATTCGGGACTCAATGCACATGAACTTCACACACATTTACACAGTAGGGTTCAGTCAACCAACCTCTCGCACTCATTAAAAAAAATTTAATTATCTTTATTTTGCAGATGAAGAAACTGAGGTTCAGAGAGACTAGGACCCTTGCCCTCAGTCCCACAGCTAGTAAGTGATGAAGCCATGAGTCAAGCCCAGATCTGTCTGATTCCACAGCTCTTTCCAATATAGCACAGTGTAGGGACTGGGACCCTCCTGTCTTGGATCTAGCTATAGAAAGCAGCAGTGCAGATGGAGAGAAAAGACGGAGTGGGTCATAGATGCCATGTCTTGGGAGCAGAGCAGGAATCCTGTTGTAGAGCCGTAAGTGCAGAAAAAGTGCTCAAAATTATCATCAGCGACAGCATGGCCACCACAATTCTCACTTTCTACTCCTGGGCAAGGTGACTGGGAGAGAGAGCGGCCCCTCGGACAGAGGTCCATGAAGACGTTAGTCTTTGCAAATGCTTGGAGACAACTCCTCAGCATATAGATGTCCCTCCGAGTTGCCTCTCTTCCTTCCTGGGAAAGGGTCAGGAAGGCAGAATAGGCCCTGGGCTTGGGGACAGGGGTGGTGAGCTGATTGATCTGGATGGGTGAAAGTCTCCTTAGAGTTTCCTGGTGTGACTTTGAAAGAAAATACATTTTAACCATCAACGGTTTACAAACATTCTTTAGATGACTGGTTAGTCGTCACTAACTTGTGTGAGCACCCAGGAACTGAGGATGCTAACTTTCCTCTGTTCACTCATTTATTCAACAAATACACTGATCTTCTGCCTTGTTGGGAGCGGGGGCGGCGTGACCCAGACAGTGAGTGGGACCCGCTGGAGCTGCAATCCAGAAGGGAGACAGATGTGCAACAAATAATTACAAATGGCAATAATGTTAGTGCTTACCTTGTAAGGCACTAATGAGTTACTATGTGCAAAATGCTGAGAACCTTCCGGAGATGATGCCTGGTACTTAGTGAATAATATTTGTTGTTATGACTTTATGAAGTTGTTGTACCAGAGGACGTATTCTTTTTTTTTTTTTAGATTTTACTGTATTTTATTTTTTAAAGATTTTATTTGTTTATTTGACAGAGAGAGACACAGTGAGAGAGGGAACACAGTGGGGCGGGGGGGGGGGGTTGGGAGTGGGAGAGGGAGAAGCAGGCTTCCCACGGAGCAGGGAGCCCGATGCGGGGCTCGATCCCAGGACCCCCTGGGATCATGACCTGAGCCGAAGGCAGACGCTTTACGACTAAGCCACCCAGGCGCTCCTAGATTTTATTTTTAAGTGATCTCTACACCCAATGTGGGGCTTGAACACACAACCCCAAGATCAAGGGTCGCACGCTCCACCCACTGAGCCAGCCAGATGCCCCGGGTCATATTCTTTTTATTCTTTTTTCCTCACATCACATTCATCACAAGACATTAGCCCCGCAACTGCCTGGAGTGTTTGTGTCGTGGCTTTCACTTACCCCATCTGGTCGGACACTTTGCATGCAGCCATTAGTTTGATGTTATTAAAAATGCTGCAAATGTAAAAATGAAATCTTAAAACAAAAAAAACAAACAAAAAAAAAGGAGGAGGGGTCTGCTGGCTGGCTCAGCTATAGAGCATGTGACTCTTGATCTCAGGGTTGTGGGTTTGAGCCCCATGTTGGGTGTAGAGAGTACTTAAAAATAAAATCTTTTTATTTTTTAAAAAGATTTATTCATTTATTTTAGAGAGAGCACATGCGTGCATGCCTGCGTGGGGGGGGGGCAAAAGAAGAGGGAGAAGAAGAGAATCTCCAACAGACTCCCCACTGAGCACAGAGCACCCCCAACGAAGCTGGGTCCCAAGACCCTGCGATCATGATCTGGGCTGAAACCAAGAGTCGGATGCTCAACCGACTGAACCACCCAGGCGCCCCCCAAAATAAAATCTTTTAAAAAAAATGCCAGAAAGGACATCTTTGGGCATGAAGCTTTTATATTGGGGCTGGTTTCCTTAGTGACCCAGGAAGGGATTTGTGAGGCCAAGTGGGTTTCCCACTGGTCCTCTTGGTCCCCTCAATGAAAGAATCCTAGGGAAGGGAATTTGTGAGGCAAAACACAACCTGCAGGGCCAGTGGGTGTCTGAGGAGGGGCACACGGTAGTGTGGCCTTCATGCACCCAGGACTTCCCCGAGATCCCCAGGGCACCAGGCTACGGGACCCCCCCACAGCTGAAGAAAGGGGGCTGTCAGTTTAGGAAGATGGGTGGGTGAGGGGCGCGTGGGTGGCTCAGTCCTTAAGCATCTGCCTTCGGCTCAGGTCATGATCCCAGGGTCCTGGGACTGAGCCCTGCATCGGGCTCCCTGCTCCGCGGGAAGCCTGCTTCTCCCTCTCCTACTCTCCCTGCTTGTGTTCCCTCTCTCGCTGTGTCTCTCTCGGTCAAAAAATAAATAAAATCTTAAAAAAAAAAAAAAAAGATGGGTGGGTGGAGCAGATCATCTTCTTGCATCTGCCTTAGAATCTCAGCTTGTCAGAACCCTGAGAGGCCGTAGAGATGGCGTGCTGTTGTCTGACCCTCTTCGTTGTGTGGGTAGGGAAACTGAGGCAGACCTGGAGGTAAGGGACCAGCACAAGGTCACTGGGTTGGTCAGTAGCAGAGCCAGAACTGGAAGCTGCATCTAATGCTTTTTTCCCCTGCACCACAGTTGCTTTTGTGTGTATTCACTCATTCCTTCATTTCTTCGCTGACTCACTCAGGATCATGTGGTGGGGAGAGCATGGACTTTCTAATGGCCGATATTCCTGGATTCCAGTCTCAGCTTGGCCTCTGTGTGACCTTGGGCAAGTGACTTCACCTCTCGGAGGCTCTCTGGTTTTAAATCTATATAAAGTAGTAGCCCCTACTTGGCTTCTCCTGGAGCTGACCTGTGACGCCACACGTTATAGGGTGGCATGGTGCCTGGCACAGAGAGAGCATAAGTGGTATCTGTCATTACTACTTTTTTTTTTTAAAGATTTTACTTATTTGAGAGGGAGAGAGAGCGAGCACGAGCACGGTGAGGGCCGAGGGAGAAGCAGACTCTGCTGAGCAGGAAGCCCGATGTGGGGCTCGGTATCAGGACCCTGGGATCATGACCTGAGCCGAAGGCAGACGCTTCACCAACTGAGCCACCCAGGCGCCCCTCTATCATTACTACTACGAATTCAACGCACGTTACTCATTCTTCATCTTTCCCAGTCCCTGTACCATATCCCAGGGACATGAAGATGACTTAGACAGGGGCCCTGCCCCAAGAGCCGCTTGGGAGGAGACTTTTGGGAGAGAATTCTGGTGAAGCCCTGGGGAAGGTGAAAAACAAACCCAACACGAAACCCCACAGCAGCCTGGCTTTGGACTGAGTTGGTTTTCATCCACCAGACTCCCGGTGCCTCAGTCGCGGAAGATGGTGTCATTGTTTACAAATCACTGTTAGGGGCAACAGCGGGAGAAAGAGCAAATGGCTGGCAGCTAACCGGTTCCAGCCCTTCCCAAGGGCTTGCAGCCCTGGACCTAGGAGCCGCGCACCGCCCCCCTGGGGGCTCCTTGCTCCAGCCACGGCTTGGAGAGACACACACAGGCCAGGACAGTGGCACAGGGTGTCAGACCTGATGTGAGACTTTGGGGGAAGTCGCTTCCTCTCTCGGAGGGCCTCTGGAGACTTTCCCTATCGAGTTTTGCCATCAGCCATTCCCTGGGCCAGATGGACAGAGTCTGACACTGAAGATATTTCTGCAGGCCAGGCAAGGAAGGGCTCCCTCTCGTAACAAGAGCATGTTGACAGTGGTCTTAGAAGCACTGTACTTACCTGCAAGCCTCCAGAAGAGGTGATGATGGGCTTGGTTTGGCAGAAGGCCTGGGAAAATGTGCTTTCTTCCTGGAAGACCCAGCGTGCCGGGGAAAGAGCTTTGTTTCCTGACTTCACAGGGTCTGAGTCTCTCCTTACCCCTGGATTCTCGTGGATGTGCTTTTTAATTGAGCCCAAATCTTATCAGGCCACCAGAAAGGCTAGTCAGACACCACAGGCCCCCATACGGGGGTGGTCCCCAGGGGAGGGTGGGGCCAGGAGATAGCCCTTCCCACCCATGCCTGAGACACTGAGAAGACTAGCAGATGCAGGCACATCTGGAAATATGCAACTGGACACCCCAGAATCTGTAGAATTCTCTACGGCCCTTTGTTTTATGGGGAGGCTTCTGGCGGGTGTTTTTCTCATGCAAAGGGAAGTGAAGGGGCCTTGACTTTCAGGCTTCTTTTCTTTGGGAGATACAACTCACCCCCCCCCACAACACACACACCCTACCCGCCCCTCCCCCCACCAGATTTCCTAGGCCTCACTCAAAGTACTTTGAGGACCTCTGGGTACAGCCAGATCTCTCTGTGCAGTTAGACTGGCGGTCAATAGTTGGGGTGGGGGGTTGTGCTGTGAAGATGTGTTTCTGTGCATGTCTTCCCCAGTGCATATAGTCTCGTGTGCAAAGGTATTGGGTGTAGATGGATTGCATGTCTGTGCCCAAGGAAAAATGGTAAACACTTACTCTCTCTTTGGTATTCTTTTCATACCAAGCTCAGTTCTCATGGCACAATGCACCCCACCTCCCTCATAAATGATACTGGGGCGTGGTCGATTTGGAGAAGGAATCCCGCAGGTCCCCACCTCCCCGGACTGGCTTTAATCCGGCAGCAGCTCTGCCCACCCCACCCTGAAACCTAAAACCCCCGGGGGGTCCAAGATAGCCAGTGGCTTCTCCACCTGATGGCGGTGGGGAGTGGGACTGCTGTCTCTTTCTTCCTCAAAGTAACTCTTCATTGACTGATTCCTTTGTGTTCTTTACACTACTGTGGTATTTCCCACTTACCACGAATCACCTTAAAAATTGTACCAACGAGAACTTATGGGATCTGTTGCCCGCTTAAAGGCAATTGCCAAGGGGGGAAAAAAAGGAATCTCTCAACCATTGTGAAAAATGATTTGGTTTGTGCACATCTTCCGGAACAACGTTATCCAATAGAAAAGCAACATGAGCCACATGTGTAATTTTCCATTTTAAATTTTTTAGCAGCCACATTCAAAACACAAAAAGAAACCAGCAAAATTAATTTTAAGGATATATTTTGTTTAGCTCTGTTTATCCACAATATTATCATTTCAACATGTAACCAGCATAGACATTGGTATTGAGGTAGCCTACCTTCTTTTTTTTCATACCAAGTCTTCAAATCTATTTCTGTGTTTTCCCCTACAAAGAAGCCACTTGGCGGCTAGTCCCATTTCAAGTGCTCAGTAGCCACCTGTGGTTAGTGGCTACCATACTGGAGAGTGTTGCTCAGCTCTGGAACCTTCTTTTTTTTTTTATTTATTTGACAGAGAGTGGGAACACAAGCAGGGGGAGTGGGAGAGGGAGAAGCAGGCTTCCCGCTGAGCAGGGAGCCCGATGCGGGGCTTGATCCCAGGACCCTGGGATCATGACCTGAGCAGAAGGCAGATGCTTAACCAACTGAGCCACCCAGGCGCCCCTCCCCTAAAATTTTTTTAACAGTTGGTTGGAACATTAACATCTACACAAGTTTCAACCTTTTGGTGTAAGTCTCATAATTAAGTCTTTTTTTTTTTTAAGATTTTATTTATTTATTTGATAGTGAGAGGGGGAACATAGGCAGGGGGAGTGGGAGAGGGAGAAGCAGGCTTCCCGCCGAGCAGGGAGCCCGATGCGGGGCTCGATCCCAGGGCCCCGGGATCACGACCCGAGCCGAAGGCAGACACTTAACGAATGAGCCACCCAGGCGCCCCAGCTCTGGAACCTTCTAACAGAAAGAGAAACCCAGTAACTTAGCCATTAGAGAAAAGGAAATTTTTATTTTATTAAGAGCAAAAATTGCCAGCCCAACTTTTTAATCCCCCTCTCCACAAAACCCAGATTAGCATCTCTGGGGGAAATGCTCTGCAGCTCTCCGGATCCTGCCTCCCTTCTCCTAACCAGCCCTTCTCTCTCTCTCTTGCCCCACACAGGTCTGGTTTCAGAACGCTAGGGCCAAGTTCAGGCGCAACCTCTTACGGCAGGAAAACACGGCTGTGGACAAGTCGACAGAGGCAACGTTGCCGACGGGGACGCCATCAGGGCCGGCCTCCGAGCTCTCCAACGCCTCGCTCAGCCCCTCCAGCACGCCCACCACCCTCACAGACTTGACCAGCCCGGCCCTGCCAACTGTGACGTCCGTCTTAACTTCTGTGCCTGGCAACCTGGAGGGCCACGAGCCTCACAGCCCCTCACAAACGACTCTCACCAACCTTTTCTAGTGACTCACGCCCTCCCCCCCCAATTTCTTTAAAAAAGAAATTATCTTTAGTTGAATTCCAAGTGTATTTTAAAATAGAGGCTTTGAGCAACTAACTAACCACATTTTAGGATCTCGCCTGGAAACAGAGGAGGAAAATAATTGTGCGTCCGGCTAATGCAGCAGTGTGGACTTGAAGAATTACTTGGAAAATCTATCTGCAACACAACATTTGTGTCACTGTACAGTTTTGTGGACTGAGCGAGGAAAAACAACAAATAATTTAAGTTGGCTAGAGCTTCTGTATTTTCAAAGACTGCCACGTGCCTTAGGAATACTGTTTTATCTCCATACTTTGGATGACTTGTTCATTTTTTCTCTCCCTCTTTTTCTCTCTGTATATTTATGACCAGAGCAAAAATGTAAAAAAAAAAAAAAAAAAAAAAAAGTTTGTTACTTTGAATAGTCCTAAAAAGAAAAAAAAAAAAAAAGGAAAAATCAAACCCCCTCCAACGGTCGCTTTGTTGTTTTAGAATTTTAAGGTGGAAGTCTGTTCGAATATCAGAATTTGTAAAATCTAACCATAATAAAACCACTTATTGAAACTAGTTGGTGTTGCTGTTGTTTAGTGGGGTGTGAAATTCACAGGACTTAAGGGTCTTACTGAAGCCCAGACATAAATTCCAAGGTCTTCTCTTACTTATTTATCTATAATATTTATTTATAATATGCGTGGGGCCCCCTTTTCTGTGCCAGGCTTTGGGCTGCTTGTTGAAATCCGGAGATTCCTTGCCATCAAGGAATATAGAGTGGAGGCAGGGACAGAAGAGATAATCTCAACATGGTGTGATATGTGCCAAGTGGAGAGTATGTCAGTGAAGTACCATTAGTTCATTCATTTGTTCTCTCAAATACTAAGTACGCCCTGCTGAATACTTGTGATAGAGGTAAAATGTTATCACACCTGCCTCTTCTGCTCTTCTCTGGGCTGGAAGGGCGTGTCAGGCAATGAAGAAAGCCTACCCCTATCAGGAGTGAATGCTGTCACCAAAGGGCAGCTCAAACTCCACTTTTCCTAATGAATTTAAAAAAAAATTAATCTCCCAAGAGGGCAGAAGCAAATGAATTTGGCTTCTTCACTACGGCTCGGGCAACCTCAGAAACCCACAGAAAGGACACATCCAGGGAGGACAGAGGATTAGAAGCAGGCAGAACGAGCTCGGAATCTCTATTGTTGCAGTGTGAGCTGAGAGATGTCATTTCACTTCTGTGAGCCTCCGTTTCCTCAGCTGGAAGATGAAGATAATGGCCTTTACAGACAGTTCTAGTGAGGATGAGGCAAGGTGTGCTGAAGGGCCCAGTGGAGGGCCTGGCATATAGTGGAGGCTCACTGTGTTTTACTGAGTCACAGACAGGTGACTCGTAAGGGTGTTGCAGGTGGAGATCAGGAATGTGTGTATCCAGGCATCGCCCGTCATTGCTGAATGCATCAAGCAGGTGTGGTGTCTGTCCACTGGACATCTTACACCCCTGATTTCTTGCTCTAAACCCTGCTACAGAGCGCTCTGTTACCAGCTTCACTGAATGCCAGTAGTTACCTAGCAAAATGTCCTTCAGTGTCTGAAAACCCAGAGGGAAAATCATAGCTGTCTTGATGAGAAAACAGCCAGGAGAGATTGGGCAGGGGAACAATCCAGCTCAGGACTGGGGTCCCTCTCCCGTCGTCCCTGTGCCATCGTGGTTGGGACAGGGTTGGGGAGGAATGGGCTGGGAGTGCTTAAAGCCTGGACAGACCCACCTCCTGAAATGTTAAAAACACACACTCACCAACACTACTATTGTTACTGTTATTTCATGCCTGGAAAAATGGTAGAAGCTCAATGAATTTTTTGTAACTTCTATATTTTTCTATTATGTGTGTAAAGTGCACACATCTGAAATGAACAGCTTGATTAATGTTTTCCAAATGAACAACCACCACATAGACACCACCCAAATCAAGATAATAAGACATTGACAGCACCCAAAGGCTCCCTTGGGCCCCCTCCCTGTCAATCCCTCCCAAGGTGGCTCCTATCTGACTTCTAGCACCATGGATTAGCTTTATCTGTTTTTGATCGATACATTTTTGCTGAATGAATTCAGGATTGCTCAAGATTAGCCAACTTGCCTGAGGTCAGGCAGCTTAGTGGTGAAGAAGCCAACATTTGAACCAGGTCTGTCTCCAGACCCCACGTCCCGTCAGCTGGGGTAATAGGATCTGTATCTCAGTGGTGGCTGCGTGAGAGAATGTGAGCAGAGGGCCTGGCCCATGGATAAGCACACAGATACGACACCAGGTACTCCCAGGGACTTACACATACGTGCCCACAGACACCACGCATGTACGCCCTGGAGACACTCGTGGGTAGATAGACCCACAGGCTAAGGTGCTTACACCCAGACAGCCCCACACAAAGACACACGTATACAAATGCTCGCAGGCAGACATAAACAGGCCCAGACGCTCACAAATACATCTAGCCAGACACCCAGACCACCCCACACGGGGAGACCCGCACACAAACCCAGATGTGCACACATGCAAACATTTGCAAGCACCCAGACGCCCCCGCATAGCCTGGTGGTGCCCCCTTGCTCAGGCCCGGACAGAGCCAAGTCTGATCCCTATCTCGCCTGTCAGCACTGCCACCCAGATGGAGCAGACCCTGGAATGATGCCCGGGGGTCCCCCACCCCCTACACGGGAGCAACGTTAGAAGCAGGGCCTGCTGTCAGGCTGGGGATGGGGGCGCTGTGGAGAAGACATGGCTTGAGAGACACACACGCTGAGTGAGAGACTCCGAAAGATAGTGATAGTGACAGGGAGACAGGGGAGTGTGGCAGAGAGATGGTACCGGGTCTGGGGGACAGAGAAAGAGTGCGACCCAGAGACGGGAAGGGACAGGGACAAAGACGCAGGGGGCAGGAGGCAGAGAGACAAACGGATCAACCACAGATAGACTTCTGAAAAGAGAAATAGCAACAGAGTAGTGAGGAGGTAGAGAGACAGACAAAGATGGGGGCCAAGATTAAGAGTGTCAAGGCGCAGGGGACAGATGACAAGACAAAGACAGAGATTGAAAAGAGAAGTCTCAGAGATCAAGGGAGACCCTGGGACAGATTCAGAGGCTGAGAGAGACCAAGGTAGAGAGCCAGAGCCGAGAAACCGCGATGGGCACTTTGAGGCTGAGAAAGGGATACTCTCAGAGACCTAGAAGGGAGACAAATAGAGTCTCAGGCCGAGGGAGAGGCGGGCAAAGGAAGGCAGGTGCTTGACGGGGAAGGGGCTGAGGCTGCCAGCCCAGCTCGGTCTACCTGTGGTGGGACTGAGGGAGTAAGTGTTCTCATCATTGCCACCTCTGGCTCCGGGGCGTTGTCCCCACCTTCCTGCATGATGCTCCGACATGCTGTGAATGTGGGGAGTCTCCTGGTTCTTGGGCCCCACACCCAGGCCTGGCACTGGGCAATCTGCAGGAGCTGAGGTCTTGGCCGTGACTTTCTTCCCGTCCTGTCCCACCCCACCAAGTCTCCTTTTCCCCAGAGTGGGAAGGTCTGGGGCAGATCCACTGTCTTCTCTGCCTTGAAAGAATTTTGGCAAGGTGCTTAGCCACTCTGAACCCCAGCGTCTTAATCTGTAAAATGGGGCCAACAGTATCCAGCTTACAGGGGGTACTGTCAGGACCCCTGAGAGAATGTGTACACGCCGTATTTGTGGTTCGACCAAATACGAGGGGAGCCACAGAGATGTGAGGAAGTGTCCTGAGAAGAGGGGAGAGACTCCAAGGAGGAGATGCTATTTGAGCTGGGATCTTGGATAAACCAAAGGTGACTGGGTGGAGGAGGGGAGCAGGGGAGCATCCTCGGCTGAGGAAACAGCCAAGGCCCAGGCAAGAGGGCACACAGCACATCCGGGAGTGGAGAGTAATGTAATGGTGGGGCTGCCCCTGGACAGGATGCCTCTGACATCCTGACATCCACAGGCTGCAGGATGAACCAGCCGCTTTCCCACCTTGCACTTAAGTTGGAGTCCCATACGGCAGAACCACCTTTCTGGAGAGGAAGTGTTTGTCGTTGTGACCTGAGGGTCCTGCTGCAAGAGTGGACCCTGCCAGCCTTCATCTGTCAGCTGAGGCCCCAGGGAGGGCTGCCTTCTGGCCCCTAGGGACTCTAGGAGTGCCAGCAGGCCCTTCCTACCTCCGTTTCTACCTTTCCCCGGCTCTGCTCCTCCCTTCCTCCTTGGCCCAGTGCTGGACAATGGGGACTGGGAGCATGGAGATGGTTTTGCCTACAGCCCCTCCCTCTGGCCCCCAGGGCTGTCTAGGAGACAGACGTGCCAACAGCCACTCACTGCCCAACATGAGGGAATCCCAGGGCGTTACAGGAGCCCCCCACCCCCACTCCCACCCCGCGGAGGGAGGGGCTGGCTCTGCAGGGGGTGAACATCCCAACCCAACTTGCCAAATCTTTATAGTTATGATCTCACTGAGTCCTTCCCACAGCAGTATGAGGCAAGGATTATCATTCCATTTCACTGAGAAAGAAGCCAAGGAGAAGTGTTTTGCCCAGGATCACAGAGTTTGGGGGCCACAAAGATATCTTCATTGCAATTCAACCAATCCAGTTGGCACATATCAATTCCTCTGCCATGCCAGGCACTCTGGCTGGGGACAACGAGAGAGACAGTTCCAGTCATCCTAGGGTCTTGCAAAAGCAGACCGAATAGGAGGGTAGCTGGGACTGGGGGTGCGAGATGCAGAGGGAGCCCAGAAGAGGCTACTAGTAGAGACTGGTGTTTGGGGGACTTTGTGAGTTGGAAGATTGGGCAACTGACCTGGAGGTGTTTGGGGCCAGAGGGGGATTAAGGGAGAGGACAGAAGCGTATGCTCAGGGTGTGGTATTTTTCCACCAGTGAACAGCACTCACGTGGGCAGGAAAGAATCACTGCCAATTTTGAGAGAAGGAACCAGCCTCAGAGAGCCTCTAGCCAGAGCTGTGCTTTAGATCCACTCCGGCAGCTTTCCCCAAATACCCTTCCTGGCTCTCCACCACTCACTGGGGAGGAGCCCTAGCTGGTGTATCAATCTGATAAAAAGCTTTTTATTATGCACAATTTCAAACATACACAAAGTAAACAGAAGAATCTAATGAACCCCCGTGCACTCATTGTCCAGCTTCTACCATTATCTACACTCACTCATTCTTACAACATCTATACCTCCACCCACTGGCCACTCCCAATTCAATGATGATGAGGAGGGTCACCTGTGGGGTTTGGAAAAGTCCCTCAGGGATTCAGATTGGCAGCCTGAGTTGGGGGCCGCCCACCTGGCCCCTTCATAGGGATGAGCAGGGGAAGCTCACAGAGGGGA